ATCAATCTCTGTAGTTATTATGATTTTTGAGATTTTTAATGATTCTCATCAGATCTTCATATTGATAAAAACAAATATGGTATTGTGAAAAGAATTTCAGTTATGAAAAGAGACAGATTGGTTTTAAATTCTTCCTCTATCATTAAGTGGGTGAATAAAATTTCTGAGCCTCCATTCCCTCCTCTATAAAGCTGTAGTACTAACTTGTACCTTAAAATGCTTGGGTAGGGAGATCTCTCACAGTGTCTAATTCTTTGCTTCAGTTCAATGAATATTTTTTTTTTTTTGCCATTTTTCTCATCTTTAAGGCTTAGATCATACCTTATTTACTAAATAATATATGTTCAATAAACATTCTTTTGTTTGGTTCTTTTTATTATAACTATTGCCACTGTAGTGACTTCTCTAACTTTTCATCTGTCCATCGTCTACCATCCACTTAGGAACTTGCCTGTAATTTTTTAAATTTAAAACTTGTTTACAAGTCAATTAGCCTCGGGTGTTTACTTCGGAAGTCATGTAGTAATATTAGATCAATAATGAGAAAATTAGCGTAGCTCTTGATAAAGAATGATGAATAGGCTTATGAAGTTATCCAGAATTTTAATGAAATGAATGGAATTCTCATTCACTTTTATAATTTTGATATAAATGCCTGGTAAAATAACGAGACACCTTTAGTTGTCTTGACATACTGGCAAATATTAACACATTTGAGAAAAAGGTAATGGTGACAAGGTTGTAAGTAAATAAATAAGCACTCAGAATCTTTGTCAGCAGGATTGTGACTTGGTTCAACACCTTTGGAGCAGGGGGATAAGGTGTGACAATCTGACTGGAAAGGGACCCAGGACTTATGTGTTGAAGCTATGCTTGCCAGACAGATATGATATTTTTACTTAGATTTTATGTTTATGTGAGGACATGAGGACACTGGAAAAAAGGGACTTGTTTGATAACTGAACAGCAGACTTTTTAAAATAAAGGTATCTATGCTTATTTGGAGTAAATTGGTATGGGAGAAAATGGGTAATGGAGATTTTTGAATTTCTGAATGGACTGCCTGCAATACAGTCATGTTTTAAAAATGCCACTGATTTGAGGATAACTTGTCAGTTTCCGTCGAAAATTAAAATACACAGACCTTTTAACCCAGCAACTTCACTTTGTCCTATAGATGTACATACGATAAAGTCCCCCAAATGCATAAAAAAGATACTTTTGGCAATGTTACTTGGAACAATAAAATAGTAGAAAATAAATGCCTAATAATTTGGTCTGATTAAATATTATTATTATGGAACATTTAGAAATTCTTATGTAGTAAAATTAGATCTATATATACTGGAAGCATCTCTAAGATAAAGTGAACATACAAACCCACCTACAAAACAAAAATAAAAATAAACTCTACAACAGAATACATACTTCTTATTTTTATAATATTATGTGTAGAGAGAAAGACATACATATGCATACATACATATAGATTTGTATACTTACTCAAATATTAATTGTCTAGTATGTGCTACAAAGGGAAAAAGGACAGAAAATACTTTAAAGGATACTAAAATCTATTAATAGGAGTTTGGGGCAGAGGATCCAAAGTGGAAGGAAGATCTGCTTTTCCCTGAGCTCCTGTTAAAATTTATTTTCATTATGCATATTTAAAAAGATAATAAACAATTTTAAAACATTCAGTTTAGAGACAAATGCATTAAAAATCAAAACAAGATTCAATAAGTAGAAATGTTTTAGTTTCTAGCATCAACACTCATCCTACTGTTGACCAATTTAATACAAACGTGTTGAAATTATACTATGTATGGTCCCAGTATTAGACTTACTCCTATTTAAAAAACAAAACATATCTCTTTATATTCCACTAACTTTCAAAATAACAGGCCTACCAAGACAGATTTAAAGTCAGTGAAATATACAAGGCAAATTTGGGATTCCATGAAGTTAAAATTCATAAATAATTATTTAATACACTCTTTTAGTGATCAAGCTATTCTATAGATATATTTTAGGTTCAGTCTCTGTTGTTTACATGTTAAGATATCAGTTCTCTTTATGTGAACTATGAGAATCATGGAAGCCTGGTGATTTACAAGTAATAAAAATACACATGGAGAATATAGTTATCTAATTAAATCTGAAATTTGGTTGCTCCTGAAAGAGAAGCAACATGCCCATAGATGTTTTTCTATTCCCATTTCAACATGCAGAGTTGCTTTCAGTCAAATATATATTTTTTCACCAGCAAATGCCCATGGTTGCTTAATTATACCCTGGTTCTTTCCCAGTAATTATTTTTCTAGGGCAACTGTTGTTTTTATGTAAGCTGACTATAAATAGAACATATGGTACACAGATATTTAAATGCAGATAATTAGAAAAGATTAAATTTTTAACATAGATCTATATTAAATGCATGTGAACATAGGAACAATTTTTGCACAATCATTTTTGGAGTTCACATGAACTAAATTAAGAGGATGAAAGATAAGGAATTAAAGATGATATGCTTACATGGCAAATACATGACACACTTATTGATTTATTGTTTCCTACTTTGAGGTTGTGTGTGTATGTTGCATTTAAAACTTTAGTTCCACATAGGGTTAAGAAAAAGTATCTTGTGCTGAGGAATTTAGAATCACAAATCATTCCCCACAGTTGACTGGATATCCCTGTTCTGATTTATTATAGCATCCTGTGTGACTCTGAGAAATTAAGTACCCTTCCCAAGGTTACACTTAGAAGTGTGTAAAAGCCCGAATTCCTTAGAGTCAGATATTAGTTCGAAAACCTAAGAACTTTCTAAAGTTAAGAATATTTAAATATGGTATGGTACATATGTAAAAGTCAGCTTTGCATCACTTAAATATTTTTAAAATTACAATAATCACTTGTAAGAAATGGTATAAATATTTTCCCACAGCAGGATATTATAATGATGAGAAAGTACTTGTCCTAGAATACACCAAATACTTTCCACGTGGAATTGAGCATGCCTCTAAAGTGCACACATAGAATTGCTTATTAGACAAGGTATTAGGCAATACCCTTAAAATTTATTTTTTCAGTTCGCATACAATATTATATTAGTTTCCAGTGTGCAACATAGTGATTAGAAATTTGTTTATATAACTTACAGACTGATCACCCCAATAAGTCTAGTACCCATCTGACACAATACATAGTTATTACAATATTATTGACTATATTCCCTATGCTGTACTTTACATCCCCATGACTGTTTTTATAACTGGCGATTTGGTCATCTTAATCCCTTCCGTTTTTCACCCACCCCTCAACACTCCCCATTTGACAAACATCATAATGTTCTCTATGAGTTTATTTCTGTTTCGTTTGTTCATTTATTTTGTTTTTTAGATTCCACATATGAGTGATATCATATGGTATTTGTCTTTTTTCTGTGTGACTTATTTTACTTAGTGTAATACCCTCTAGGTCTATTCATATTGGTGCAGATGGCAAAATTTCGTCCTTTTTTTATGGCATGTATTATTCCATTGTATACATGTACCGCTTCTTCTTTATCCATTCATTTGTTGGTGAACACTTAGGTTGCCTCTGTATCTTGGCTATTGTAAATAATGCTGCAATGAACATATGGGTGCATATGTCTTTTTACATTAGTGTTTTGGGTTTTTTTGGGTAAATACCAAGAAGTAGAATTGCTGGGGCATTTGTTTTAAAGTATATTTTGTATGATATAAGTATTGCTACCCCAGCTTTTGTTTTGCATTTTCATTTTTATGAAATATCTTTTTCCATCCATTTGCTTTCAGTCTGTGTCTTTTGATCTGAAGTGAATCTCTTATAGGCAGCATATGTAAGGGTCTTGTTTTTTTATCCATTCAGCCATCCTATGACTTTCGATTGAAAATTTTAATCCATTTACATTTTAAGTAATTATTGATAGGTATGTAGTTATTGCCATTTTATTTTACATATTATTTTTTTTTCTTAAATAAGTTTAACATTTCTTAAAACTGATTGGTGTCGATAAACTCCTTTAGCTTTTTCTTGTCTAGGAGGTATAAGGCAATATTCTAATTACATATTTAGGAGTCAGTACCTGGGCTCTAATCCATTAGGTCTGAGGTTAGGTCAAAGCATTGATATTTCTAACATGTCCCCATGTGAAGCTGACGCTGCAGGTCAAACAACTTCTTTTAGATATACTATGACAAGTTAGAGTGAATGCTGAATAATTTAAGTATGTTAATTAAATAATATTTTTTTCTTAATTATACCTATCATTTTTCCA